CTTAACTTTCGGCACTGCACAACTCAATTTGAGCCATTTTCGCTGATTTTATTCTACTTTTCTAGCACACTCATCCCTGTTGCTGCAGGGCGCACTGCAACCGTTGAGGACACTCACAGATTAATTGCACACGTAAACACATAGAGCTTTTGTGAAATTCGCTGCGGCAAACAGCGGTTAGCAGGACCCTATACTGCCAATAACACTGCTGATACAATGGTTACAAACTGAGTAACCACAATCCCTCAGAACTATGAATCTGCAAAAAAATCATGAACCTGATAGGGTCGCATGAGATTATGTCGCTCACATTCTACAACACCCATTTTCGCCTGCTTTTCATCCTCGAAAGAACGCAGCGTGAATGGCATCACACCGTATTTGTTTACTGCCGCAGATAAAAATGCTCTGAAAAACAGGACGGTGCAATTATCAAAAGGAAAGTTGAAAACTTACACGGTACACATACTGCATACAAAACGGAATGACGCCTGAAATCAATCCACTGTGTTTCTGAGAAAGATCTCAAATAAAAATCGCAAACTGTATCAACCTCGAAGCTTTCATTTTCAGTAAGTAAACGAGATCATCCACTTTCTTATAAACTGTCGTCCTTGAATCCAACATTCGAGTTTTACCTTAAAAAACTTCCTTTACATCAGGAGCTACGATGTTTAGATACAGCACTTCTGGTGCTCATAGCCAGAAAACGCAACTTTCCACTACGAAACAGAAACGAATTACCTTCCCCGGTACTCATCAGGATATCAATGGCAAAAGCTTCGAATCTATCAAAAGTGCACTTCGTTATTTCTGATCGCTGTTTCTCACCCGGATTTTGAATAATCTGTTTTTCGCCATCAATTTTATTTTTCCTCAGCTCATGGGAAAGCATATTTTCAACCGGTTTTACCTGAAATTAGACACCAGAACGTGTGGTAAAAAGTCTGCGGAATTTGAAAATACCCCTTTCCCTTCCCCCTCTACAGTTTATATCTTCAAAAAGAG